AGCTCCACTGACTGTGTGCTTTAGAACGCTGGTTCTCACTGTTGCAGGAGGCTGCTTGTTGGTTCCCGGCTGCTCAGTCCTGAAATAATCACACAGAAACTGTATTAATTATATCACTGCTTGGCCTATTAGCTCTAGCTTCTTATTGGCTAACTCTTAGATATTAATTTAACCCATTTCTATTAAACTGTGTATCGCTACGTGGCTGTGGCTGCAACTTACCGGCTAAAGTTCTGGCATCTGTCTCCAGCAGGGGCTCCGTGGTTTCTCTCTGACTCTGCCTCCTTTCTCCCAGCATTCAGCTTAGTTTTCCCCGCCTAGCTCTGTTCCCCTATGGCTCTGCTATAGGCCCAAAGCAGTTCCTTTATTAACCAATGATATTCACAGCATACAGAGGGGAATCCCACACTCAACCTTCCTAACACAGCAACCTTTATTACAGTTCCTCATGTGTGGTGACCCCCAACCACAAAGTTATTTTCATTGCTACTTCATAACTGTAATTTTGCTACTGCTATGAATCGTAATGTAAATATCTGATATGTCCAATGGTCTTAGGGAAACCCTGTGAAAGGGTCATTCGACCCCCAAAGGGTCACGGCCGGTAGGTTGAGAACCACTGCTCCAGGTAGGGGCATTCCAATTGGGAGGAGCTTCTGAAACAAGGGGCAGAGTCAGGATGGGGTAAGGCATTTCCAGGTCATTTGTCTGCCCAGAGACATGCTCATGGCGGGGGGGGGGGGGGGGAGTAGGCATATCTTGAAAGAGAGAAGACATGAAACATTTGACCCTGGGTCTCAGGCCAACAATAAGACTTGAAAGGTCAGGGTCAGGACTGGAGAGATGGCTCAGTGGTTAAGAGCAATGACTGCTCTTCTAGAGGACCCGGGTTCAATTCCCAGCAACTACATGGCAGCTCACAACTGTCTGAAGATCCAGTTCCAGGGGATCTGACATTTTACACCAATGGACATAAAATAAAGTTAAATAAATCATAAAAAATATTTTTTTAAAAAAGGTCAGGGTCATTTGTTTCATAAATTTAAATATCTAGTCTGAGTCGATGTTGTCCCCAACAGATTTGTTGCTTCATTTTAGAGTCTCGGAGCGAAACCGAGGTGTCTGCATTGAACAGCTCCCAGGAACACCATTTGCTTCGTGTAGGAAAGGCAGCTTCTGTGTGTGCTATCTCCACAAGGCGAGTGACACCACTGTGTGGGACGAAGCATCACTCCTGTCAAAGCCCACAGTGTGAGTGAGGAGATGGCACATGATTAAGAACACTTACTGCTCTTGCAGAGGACCCGGGTTGGGTACCAGCACCCATACCCGGTATCTTACAACCACTTACACCTCCAGTGCCAGGAAATCACACACACTCTGACCTCCCCGGGGCACCTGTCTGCTTGTGGCATGCACAAACTCCTGCAGGTACGTATCCAAATAGTAAATCTTTATTTTCTAAAGCACACTGTGCTTCAGTAGCCTTTTTTTCGTCCCCAGATTAATGCCCAGTAAAGAGAAATTAGGCGCACGGTGGAGTGAGAGACTAGCGAAAGAGTGATGGAGACCTTTGGAGTTAGATGATGACCCTGAACCAGAGAAAGACAGTTACCGAGGGCCACCCGGGCCTTGGGGTGGGGATAAACTGAAGCGCACATTGAACGCTTTGCCCAGTGCTTTCATTGGAACTGTTTCTCCTTTTATCTGAATTCTGGGAAACAGCGGTGCGACTCCAACAGGCCAATGTGGACTACATCCAAAGCAAATGACAGTCTCTGCCTTCCTGGTCTCCCAGCCCTCGGCATGCTGGAAAGCGAACATTCACAAGCAGGGAGCAGAAGGCTGCACAGGTGGCCTATCTCCCCGGAAAAAAGGCGGGGTAAAGAGCTGGCATTTACACATTCATGACCAAACTGGCTCCCATGTAGGTTCCCTGTTCCCTCCAACACAGTAGACCCAGAAGATTCCAAAGAGAGCCATGATGTTTAACAGTGAGTACTCAGATTCCAATATCACCACTTCTACTGCCTGAGCAGGCATTTAGAATGTGCTGCCCCCACTTCATGCACCCCCCACTTCATGCACCGGATACAACTGGTGTACAGGCAAGCCCTACCCCATCCTACAGATAGCTATTTTTTAAGAACCAGTGAACATCTTTCTAACCTGAAAAACACATAGTCCTTGGTCTTCTGGTCTTTCTGAGGGTTCAATGTCATGTCGCATGAGAGCTGAGCACCTCTGCCCACCTGCCTTCTCCCAATTCCTGTGCCATACCCCGTAGCTTAGTCTGTTGCAGGAGAGCCGCTTGTTCATCCTGGCCACCCAGAACCAAAATAACCACACAGAAACTGTATTAATTAAATCATTGCTTGGCCCATTAGCTCTAACTTCTTATTGGCTAATTCTTACATCTTAATTTAACCCATCTCCATTAATCTGTGTATTGCCACATGGCAGTGGCTTACCAGCAAAGATTTGGCTTGTCTGACTCTGGCGGGGGCTCCATAGCATCTCCCTGACTCCACCTTTCTTCCTCCCAGAATTCAGTTCCATTTTCCCTGCCTACTTAAGTTCTGCCCCATCAACAGGCCAAGGCAGTTTCTTTATTCATTAGCCAATGAAAGCAACACATAGACAGAAGGACCTCCCACACCATTGGTCCTGAGCTGGGACTCTAGGAGGTGACACATCTTCCATCAAGGAAAGCAGCCACCAATTATTCATGGGTGGGCATAGCTGTGACAGTCTTTCAAGGACACAGTCTCGTTCTTATTCTCAAAGCAGCTCGCCTATCTGGTCTCATTTCTTGCCGCCACGCCCCCTCCTCCTTACACCCAAGGTCAAGTCCTGAAGCTCACTATGTTTTCCCCATGGCCCACTCTGATTTCTCAGAACCTAGGACTCTGAATGAGTTCTTCTTCTTCCTGGAAGACTTCCCTGCTTTCTAGACTACCTTCTTGAACCTTCCTGTTAGGCTCTGAATCTGTTTCCAACTCTGAATCCAAAGGCCCAAGTGTTTACAGATCTGTGGTACTATCGGGACATGGTGGGATCTTCAGGAAGGGGACTCTCGTTGGAGAAAGTTCTGTCTTTGGAGAATGTTTTAGTCAGTGTCACTATTGTTGTGATGAGATGCCATGACCAATGCAACTTGGGCAGGAAAGGGTTTATTCAGCTTGTGTCTCCACATTGTAGTTCATCAGCAAAGGAAGTCAGGACAGGAACTTAAGCAGGCAGGACCCTGGAGGCAGGAGCTGATGCAGGGGAGCTGCTTATTGACTTTCTTCTCATGACTTGCTCACCCTGATTTCTTATAGAACCCAGACCATCAGCCCAGAGGTGCTACCACCCACCATAGACTGGGCTCTTCCCAACCAATCACTAATTAAGAGAATGCCTTAAAGCTGGATCTTATGAAAGTGTTTTCTCAGTTGAGGTTCCCAGTGTGTCAAATTGACATAAAACTAGCCAGCACAGAGCAATGTACTTTGAAGGGGCTAGTGGAGACCTAGCCCCCTTTCTTTGTTTCTTGGCCACCGTGAGGTAAACAGTTTTCTTTTACACACATCTACCACGATCTGCTTTACCACAGGCTTAAAGGCAACAGGGATGACTAACCACGGACTGAAAGCAAAATAGATCATTCCTCCATTTGTGTGGCGGGGAGATGGGGGGGGGCACGTGTGTATGTTTGCACATGGGGAAGCTGGGGGGGGGGGCACGTGTGTATGTATGCACATGTAGAAGCTTGGAGGAGGGGCACGTGTGTATGTATGCACATGTAGAAGCTTGGAGAAGGGCACGTGTGTATGTATGCACATATAGAAGCTAGAAGTCTACACTGGGTGGCTTTTAAAAATCACTCTCCACTTTATCTTTTGAGCCAGAGTCTCTTCCCTAAAGTTGGAGTTTGGAAATTCAGCTTGACTGGCTGGCCAACAAGCCCTAGAGATCCTTCCATCTCTACCTCTCCTGCCCGCATCTCAATACCCAGCTTTTGATGGTTTGGTTTGGTTTTTAACATGGGCACTGGGCATGAACTCTGGTCCTCTAGCTTACATGGCAAACACTGTACTGACGAAGCCGTCTCCCTCACCCCTTCCCTTCCTCATTTTAAAGGAAAGGAATTGTTTATCTCAGGATTATGTCCCGTTACCAAGAACCTGACTAACGTGTCCAGGGTTCCGCTCAGTTATCACTGCTAGGGAGAGTTCCTGAATCTCTCCTGCCCTCCTGTGTGGATTAAGTGCTCTCGGGTCTGCATTCCGTTTTTCTTTTCTGTTCTGGTCTTTTTTGTTTGTTGTTTTGTTTGTCCCGTTGGTTTGTTATTCTTGTTATTGTTTCTTCCTCCTTCTTGTGGAGGACTGATTTTGTTTTGAGACATGGCCTCATAGCCCAGGCTAGCCTGGAACATGATTTCCTTCTGTTCCACTTACTGAGGACCTGGAATTAAAAGTGTATGTGGTGGTTTGAAAGAAAATGACCCCCAAAGGGAATGGCGCTATTAGGAGGTGTGGTCTTGTTGAAGGAAGTGTATCACTGTGGAGGTGGGCTTTGAGGTCTCATTTATGCTCAAGCCACGCCCAGTGAGACGAACCACTTCCTGTTGATGGCTACTTCTCCAGCACCATGTCTGCCTGTCTGTCCGTCGCCCCCCCCTCCCAGCTGCCATGCTCCCTGCTGTGATGATAATGGACTAAACCTCTAAACCACTAAACTATAAACCTCAATTAAATGTTTTCCTTTATAAGAATGACTATGGTCATGGTGTCTCTTCACAGTAATAGAAACCCTAAAACGGCATGTGCCCCCACACCCAGGCCCAGTCTGTACACTTAGAGTTCCCCCTACTTAGGTTGCAGTAACCCCCAATTCTTAAGTGAATTCCCACTAGACTATTGATACCTTTGGAGTTCAGCCATGCATGTTATTTATGTATTTCTAACTTCTGACCCGTAGAGGGAGTATGTGAATACTT